ACCAGCTTCCTGCCAGAGCAGGCCAGGCAAGCCAGTCCTGCATGCCCTGGAGGGTAGAACAGACTGCCCCCTGTCCCCCCACCCAGAGTGCCCAGGGCCCTGCTGAGGGTGTAGGCTGCAGCTCACATGGGTCTTCTGTTCCCACATTTCAGACTCACCCACACCCGTGTGATACTGAAGCTCAATCCCTCTACTTGAACAGGTCAGGTTCATCTGGTGGGTCTCAGTCTTTCTGTCCATAGAATGGGATGGATAACTCCCATTTCCAGCAGTTACTGTCTGGGTCACGTATGCAATGCAAGGATGAATGTTGTGCAGCATTTGACTTTCCAAATGTTTGGGCCTCTTTGGGCCTAGGACATGTCTTCCAGGCGCTCAGCCTTGATAGGCTACAGTTAGCTCCAAGGTGGAGGGCAGAGGGCGGCAGGGGCAAGTGTCTTCCCACCGCACCCAGCACTATTCTGACATCAGGTCATGTGGCTGACTTCATAGGAAGGAAGCCCAGGGAGATAAGCAGGCGGCTATCATGGTAAACAAGTCCAGGAGCTCCTGGGACACAGGCAAAGCAGGTCAGAGGCCATGGAGGAGGTGGTGCTAGAAGGAGCTGCCAGTGTCAGGTCCCTGCCACAGGCCAGCAGGGCCCGGAAGGTCTCAGGCACAGACCACTCCGTGGGCGGAATCCTCGTGGGTGTTAGGTGGCGATGCTGTGGGCCTGCATAGATCTCAGCACAGGGGGTAGGTGTTGGCCACTGCTGGGCAGGATGTCTGGCCTCGACAAGCCGGCCAGATCCGGGCTGAAGCCCATACCTGCAGCCTGGACACGGGACAGGGGCAGGTGGCCGTGCAGAATCTGATGGATCAGAGCTCCACGCTGCTGGCTAGTCCATGCTCTCTGGCCTCCCGGCACCCAGGGCGTGTCTAGCCCCCGTGGAGGGCTGGGGCCAGCTGTGCACACTCCCGGCCAGGGTCAGGCTGGGGGAATCTACACTGTTCTGCAGCACCACAGGTGGACCTGGGGCCGTCCAGGGGGCAGCCTGAGTGGCAGCCTCATGGGGTGAATTCCTGAAGGCCTCAGTGACATCAAGGGAGGGCTGGGGGTGAAGGAGAAGCGGAGTGGAGGCATAACGTCCCAGGCAGACGTTATGGAAAGGGCATTGGGCCACAGCCCAGCATTGGAAAGGCAGGCCTCCCAGGACAGAGGTGAGTGAGGAAGCATCAGGGGAGCTGGGGGCTCAGCCTGAACACAGAGGGCTGGGTCGCCCCGACCTTTTGGAGGTTCCTGTTGGCTGTTCTGCTGGTTGCCTTCACAACTAGCCCCCGGGGCCCCACCAGCACCAGGCACATGGCAGGGGCTTGGCAGCGGCTCTGGGGCCCCAGCACTGTGCTCAGAGCACTGAGCCTGTGGCCCTCACACAGGGTTTGACACCCCTCCCCCCAACCCTTCTCCCCACACAGCCAGTGGCAGGAAGCACGTGTCTGACAACTGGGCCTTCACTTCATTTCCTTCCTTCCCTGAGCAGGAGGGGGTCCTGAAGTGGCCAGACCCGGAACTACAGGCCCCGCAGGTGAGGAAGGCCACTCCACGGGTCTGCAAACCACCACACACCTGAAGGCTTAAACAGGAGACACTCATTTTCTGATAGTTCCAGTTGGGAGGCCAGGCGTGCACGATCAAGGCGCTGGCATGCTGGGCTCCTCCGGGGCCTCTCTCCTTGGCTTGGAGGCTTGCCACCCTCTCCCTGCCTCCTCACAGGCCTGACCCTCTGTGTGTGAGCTCCCTGTCTGTATGTCCAAATTTCCTCTCCTAAGCACACAGTCAGATCGGGTGACAGCCCGCCCCTCTGGCCTCGTTCTACCTTATGCCTCTGTAGTCCCTGTCTCCAAGGACAGTGACACCTGAGGTCCCTCCTTGGGGCCCCATCAGTGCTTTGCAGTTGATGCTACGGTCTCCCCCACAGAGGTGGGTCCTGAGTCCTCTCTAGGTTCCCATTCTGGCTACAGGTCTTTAGGAGCTGCCATGCAGCATTAGGGGACCTCGAAATGGATAACCTGGGAGGGGCAGAAGGAGCCTAGGCCAGGGAAGCTACGGGAGGCGGCCCCGGCGCGGAGGCTGGCATTTCTGAGGCCCTGCCCGCCCACCCACACTTTCCTGCCATCCTTCTTCTTGTGCTGCAGTGTCAAGGCTTCCAAAGAAGTTTCATTCCCACATTTCCTGAGCCTCAGAGCAGCAGCCGTGGGAGGGAGGCAGGGCCGGCCTTCCTTTGCCCACCCCACTGGGCTGGAGATCAGGGCTGGCTTGCCCAAGGGTGCGGCTCGGACTCACACCTCACCTCCCGCCCTCCCCTCTCCCCCTGCACCTGGCCTGAACAGGGGCTGGGCTCCTGGTGAGGGGTGAATCACAGGGAGCTGGCAGGACAAGACCTGTATTTGTGACTACATGGTGCCAAACACTGGCACGGGGCCCGCCCTTCTGCCATCTGCAGGGAAGGCTCCTGCAGGAGGAGCCGAGGAGAAGCAGGGCTGGGTAGGGAGAGTGGAGAGGGAGGCACATGGCTCCCTTGGGCCCCTGCAGGCGGACCTCTGTCACTGCTGAGCCCTGTGCCTTTAGGCAAGTTACACAGCTTCCCAGAGTTGCAGCTTCTTCATTGATGAATCGAGGACAGGTGCGCTCAGGTGCCAAGTGCTGCAGCGCTTACTGTGTACTCAGACTATTTTCAGCGCCGGGCTACGGGGATAGACGTGCTCCTGTCCTCCTGGAGGTGGGTGGGGAGCAGCAGCTCTGAGGGCAGGCCTGGAGCCCCGAGTGGTCCACTCAGCCGGCTGGTCGGGGAAGGCTCTCCCTGTGGATGGGGAAGGGCTGAACTGGGCCTCTGATGAGAAGAATCTGGGGCAGCGCCTCCCTCTCCTTGGGCCTGCGCAGGAGGGGAGGGTTCAGCTGTCTGCACCCTCCCTCCCCCCACTTAACCCAGGCCCCTAGGAGCAGGACCTTCCCTGTCTGCCAGCCTGCAGGCCCTCTCCCATCTGTTGGTTCCTCTCTGTCCCTCACAGGCTGGCCTTGAGCGCCTGGGGCAGGGACTGTCTGGGCAACCCCCCCACCCCCCGCTGCTCTCTGCAGCCCCCAACCCAAGCAGGACACATAGTCCAGGAGGCAGTAAAGGATGGCAGCCTGTGAACCGTGCCTCTGCTCCCTGTGAGCAGGACATGCCTCTCCAGGGGTAATCTGTCCTGAGCCTGGGTGTGGGGGGCACAGGGGGACCCCTAAACCCAGACGGCCGGCTTCCCACGGGGGCTCCATCCCTTACCTGCTAAATCCCCAGTGCCTAAAGCTGTTGCCCTCAGGAGCGTGGGGTGCTGACACCTGCCTCCCCGGCCTATAAGCAGAGGAGCTGCGGTGGCTTAGGGGGGTGGGCAATGGGGCTGGCTCATCCAATGGGTGCCTGTGCAGGCTGGGCAGCTTGTTTCCTAGAGGAAGGCAGGGCCGCCCAGCTCCGGGGAGGCCGAGGATTCCAGAGGCAACCCGATGCCCAAATTCAAGCCGCCCACGGGCAACACGTTCTGATTGACGCAGGTGCCCCTCGCCCACCCGAGGGCCAGGCCTGCCCGCCGCCCCCGCAGACGGGCCGGGCCGCCTTTCTGTGCCACCTGCCACCCGAGGACCCGACACCCTGTCCCCGCCTGTCAGAAGGACCCACCAAGGAGGTGCTGCTGGGCTCCAGGCCCGCCCAGCAACCGTGCCCAGGACCCCAAGGCCAGCGGCCAAGGGAGCCCACCTCCTCCTGGGCCTGCACCCCGCAGACCCCCCAGGAGGAGACACCAGGGTCCGCGGGCCACTACCCTCGAGGGCCGCCCGCCTCCCGCCCCTGCCCCCTCCTCGCACCCCCAGCCCCTTCCCGGTCCCGCCCCTGCTCCATCGCATCCCCTCAGCCGGCCTCTCCTCGGTGCCTCCCACCTTGCGGCTCCCGGACCCCCCTTCCGCCCTCTCCTCGCTCCCCAGCCCGCTCCTGGCTCCTGGGACCCACGATCGCCTCCTCGTCCCCTGTCCCCTCCCCCCCACGTGGCCCGGTCCCCCTCCTCGCGCCTCCTCCCCTCCCCTCCCTCCCCCTGTGCCCCCCACCCCCGCTCCGGGTCTAGTCCTCGCCCCCCCGCCCCGCCCCCTGTGCCCCCTCCCCGGGTCCCCTCGCCCCCCCGCCCCCCCCGCCGCCCTCCTCCCGGGGCCCCGCGGCCGTCCAGCGTACGGGGTGACGCAGCGCCGCCCACCCGCGCGCCCCGCCCGCCCCGCGCCTCCTCCTCCTCCTCCTCTCCTCCTCCTCCTCCTCCTCCGCCGCCGCCGCCGCCGCCGCCGCCGCCGCCGCCCGCTCCGGGGGCCCTAACGGTCCCGCGCCCCTCGGCGTGGCGCCGCGGCCGAGCAGGCGGTGCGGGCGGGCGGGCGGGCGGGCGCCGGCGGGATGGGGGCGGCGGAGCCGCTGCGCTCCGAGCTGTGGGTGAAGCGGCGGCGCTGCGCCGTGAGCCTGGACCCCGCGCGGGCGCTGCTGCGCTGGTGGCCGAGCCCGGGGCCCGGAGCCGGGGCGCCCGGCGCGGGTGAGCGTGGGGCCGGGGGGAGGCCCGGGGGAGGGGCAGGACCCGGGGGAGGCCGGGGGGGGGGGAGGCCGGGGGGGGGAGGCCCGGGGGGGCGGGGGCGGGGGCCCGGGCGCAGGGGCGAGGCGCGGCGCCGCGGACGGTCCCCTGGCGGGCGGTCCCCTGGCGGGCGGTCCCCTGGCGGCGGTCCCTGGCGGGCGGCCGGGGCTGCAGGGCGCAGGCGGCACCCAGGGACCCCTTCCGGACGACGCGGGGCCAGAGCCCGGGGCGGGCCTGCGGGCGGGGCGGGCGGGGCGAGGGCGCCGGCCGCCGCGTGGGGTCCAACGGGGGCCCTCGCGACTCGGAGACGTGCGACCTGGATGAAAGCGGCGGGACGCGCCCGGCCCGAGGGACCCCTTTGTCGGGGAAGGGGCTCCCCGCGCAGCTGGCCGCGGCTGGCCCCAGGCCGAGGAAGGCGATGCCATTTGCTCCTGGGGAGGAGCGGGGAGGACTCCGGAGGGCGGCGCCGGCCGCGGGGAGAGGGGAGCAGCCCGGGCCTGGCGCGCGTGGGTGTGCGCCGCTTCGTTCATTCGCCTTGTGCGAGTCTTTATAGGCGGCCTGTTGGGAGGCGGCGGTGGCACGGCGCCTGCCACGGTGGATGCTTCTCCCTGGAAGGCAGGCACAGGGGCGCTTGTGGGTCTGAGGAGGACACCGCGGCGGGTGGAGCCGAAAGCCCCACTTAGGTGGGTGCATCCGACGGGGCACCTGGAGGAACCCGCGCACACGGGAGAGAGATGGTGCAGCGGGTAGGACAGCGAGAGCCCTGGGACCGGCCAGGAGGTGGGGGGAGAGGAAAGGGGCCGGGGGCCTCCGGGGCAGGCGGCTGGGCTGGGACTTCTCCGTGAGTCCTCGGAGCCCCTGAGGGCTTTATCCAGCTCTGCTCTCCTGCGGGATCCCAGGAGAGAGCAGAGGAGGTGCAAGGAAGTGCAGTAGGGAGGCTGCCAGCACCCCCCCTCCCCCCCCCCCCCCCCCGGGGCAGGAGTCGGGTGAGGGGCGGGTCTGCTTGAAGAGAGTGAGGGTCACTACCACCAGGCTTGCAGTCTGCTGAAGTCACAGTGGGCGACGCAGGGATTTACAGTTTTAATTATTGGGGGTGGCTGTTGCAGAGGACAAGAGTCACTCCTGGGCAGAGTTTGGGATGCCTTTTAAACGCTTTGGGGACAGTTGGGGCACAGCTTCCTGACGCTGAGGTTGTGAGGCTCAGCGGGTTGGAGGAGGGGTGGGCAGAGCTGAAACGGAGGCGGGCCAAGGTCAAGGGTAGCCGGGGGCCCAGGACCAACACTTGGTTTCCTGCTTTGGGGTCACCAGAAGCAGTGTCGGAGGAGAGCCTACCCGCAGCTGCGTGTCTGAGAGTTTCCTCCTGTGTGATCTTGCTGAGGTCCCTTTGGGAGAAATGCCTTGCCTCAGACCTCCCCCTGGGCCTCCTGGCACCACCCACCAGGGTCGTAGTCGTCGTCATCGTCGCCGCCGTTGTTGTCGTCGTCCTCCTCCTCCTCCTCCTCCTCCTCCTCCTCCTCCTCCTCCTCCTCCTCCTCGTCTGCTCCTGCTGCAGTGAGTGGTGCCTGGCCTGGCCCCAAGGGCATTGAGCTGTTTTGTAAATCTCTGGGCTCAAGAATGGGGCACTTCTGTGCAGCCATCACGCTGCTGTTCTGTGTCATGTTCACACGCGACCCCTGCGGAGCAGCTGTTCCCATACCTTACAGCCAGGGCGACCCAGCTATGGAGAGAGTTTAAGTAACCGCGTCCCCCATGGTCTAAAGGCGAGCTTGGTGGGTCCCAAGCCAGCCATTGGCAGTGTGGCCTCCCGAGGGCCTCAGCACCGCTGGAACCCCGGATACACCCCACTCCTGTGGGCTGCCCCGTGGGAAGTCCATCCCTGCCTGCTTTCGGGTGGGCACCCTCCGCTGGCCACTACTGGTTTCCAGTCATCGGGCTCTGGGTGCTGCGTGGTGGCAGTGCCTGCTTTGGTCTGCTTGCTCCTGCTCCTGCTCGCTGCCTCGGCTGCCAGTCCCCTTCCTGAGATGGTGGTTTTGCTTTTGCAAACCACCTTGCAGGCTCCTTGGTGCGGGCTCTTTGGTGCAGGCTCATCTGGAGCTTCCTGGCGGGTATGCCAAGGGCTTGGTTCCCTCCCCAGAGAGGCCAGGGCTGCAGGAGCCCCGGCCAGTGGGCCTCCTCCTGGAAGAGTCCTGTTTTCATCGTCCCGTGTGCATTCCAGCACCGTGCAAAGCACTGGGTGAGCAGCACGGATCCGACTGCAGCAGCTCTTTGGGTCTCCCTCATTACCCTGCATCCCCAAAAAGAAGAAGGCCCATGGGAGAGGTTGGCATGCTGGAGGTCGGTAGGGTCAGCAGGGCCCACGTGGACCAGCCCACGGGACGTTTCGTTCAGTTAGCTCCCCGGGGACAGATGGGGAAGGTGTGCATCGCGTGTGCCTGTCACTGGAGGTCAGAGAAGGGAGCCGGGCCAGGGCTGCCGTGTGCACTGGGCGGGGTGCGGCCGCCCAGGTTATTCCATCTGACTCTCTCAGCTCGAGAACGTCACTCCTCTGTTTCCAGATGCAAGACCTGGAAGCCGTGAACCGACTGCTCACAGAGGCAAGAGACACGCACCCGGGAGCTATGTTTTTAATCCAGGCACGTGCTCTTTCTCCTGTGGGTCACTGTGCCGGGAATGTGGCTCAGGGCTGCAGGGCCAAGCTGGGACCAGGAATTGGGAGGGGCAGAGTCTTCTGGTCCCCGAGAGGGCCGCCCTGCCCGAGGATGCTGTGAGAGCGGGTGCGCCTGGGTGCCAGCCTGGTCGGAAGTGAGGCCCACTGAAAACAGGAAACCCGGCAGAGGCGTCCTGGGCCGGAGTGGGTCGGGCTAGCTGAACTTGAAACGAGCTGTAGCTGTGTCTGGGTTACATCCTCAGGCTCTGAAGGCCTTCTGTTAGGGTCGGGGTGGCAGGATTGTGCTTGCGTGTGCATGTGTGTGTGTCTGGGTCTGGGGGAGGCGGTGGTCACCGCTGCCCAGCCTCCACCCTCCCCTTCCTTCCAGCAGTCCCCCACCCCCAATGCCCCAGGCCTGGTGCTGAGCTGCTTGGCTGGGGCGCTGCTCTGTTTATGAGGGGTATCTCTGATACTGTCTGTGCAGTGCCAAGCAAAACATACAGGACATTTAAAATCTAGAAAACACAGAAAAGCAGGCACATAGAAATCACCCTGTGTCTCACCCTTTAGCAGTGAATACCGTGTGGTGTTTTTGTCTATGTAAACACACATGAAAGAAAAGCTAGGGAAACGTACTGCAGAATGTTTTCCACGGTACTATTTACTCACTTGAAACGTGCCTTTTTAAAAACAGCTTTAACGTCTGACGTTGGCTCAGGTCATGATCCCAGGTCCTGAGATCAAACCCAATCTCATCTCCTCTGGCATCTCATCCCCTTGCTCAGCGGGCAGGGAGCCTGCCTGTGCCTCCCCCTCTGCCCCTCCCTCCAGCACGGGCTCACTCTCAAACAGATAGATAAAATCTGTTTTTTTTTTTTTTTTTAAGATTTTATCTATTTATTCATGAGAGACACACAGAGGCAGAGACACAGGCAGAGGGAGAAGCAGGTTCCCTGAGGGGAGCCCGATGTAGGACTCGATCCCGAGACCCCGAGGTCATGACCTGAGCCGAAGGCAGATGCTCAACCACTGAGCCACCCAGGCATCCCAGATAAAATCTTAAAAAAAAAAAAAGTCAGCTTTATTGAGGTATGATTTGTATACAGCAAAATGCACACATTTTAAGGGTATAGTTTGGGGAGTTTTGAGAAATCTATGCACCTAAGCATCACCCCATCAAGATATAGGACGTTCGGGTCAGCCCAGAACCTTCCCCATGCTCCACCAACAGGGATGAATTTGACCTCTAATAGGATTTCCTGTAAGTGCAATCATGCAGTATGTGCCCTTGTCTCTGCCTTCTTTGTCTCAATCTTTTTGCGATTCATTGTGTATCTGTGGTTGGTTCTTCCTTGTCACGGAGTAATAGCGCATTGTATGAGAAAACCAGTGTGTTTATCCATTCACTTGATGGACTTGGGGACCATTTCCAGTGTTTGGCTGTGTGAATAAGGATGCTGATCACGTGTGTACAAGTCCTTGGGGCGGGGGAAGGCATATGCTTTTCTTTCTCTTGGATGATGTTTAGGAGTCAAAAGCTGGCATAGGAAAGCGCATGTCTTAAGACATGATTTTTCTTGGTTGTGCAGTATTTTGTGACATGATATGACAAATGCCCTTTTTAGTTATTCATGATATAAAAGTTCCTCAAAATCAGAATTGGATGGGTTGAAGATTTTCTTTTCTTTTCTTTTCTTTTTTTAAGATTTTATTTATTCATGAGAGACCGAGACACAGAGAGAGGCAGAGACACAGGAGGAGGGAGCAGCAGGTTCCATGTCGGGAGCCTGATGTGGGACTTGATCCCAAGACTCCAGGATCAGGCCCTGGGCCGAAGGCGGCACTAAACTGCTGAGCCACTAGGGCTACCCTGAAGATTTTCATGTAAGAATAAATTAGTACAAGAAAACAGAGGACAATTTATAATTTTGGAATGTGGGAAGACCTCACTAACCAGGATGGAATCAAGGAATAAAAGAAAAATCTAGATTATTTCAATAAAAATCTTTTTTTTAAAGATTTTATTTATTTATTCATGAGAGACACACACACAGAGAGAGAGAGAGAGAGAGAGAGGCAGAGACACAGGCAGAGGGAGAAGCTGGCTCCATGCAGGGAGCCCGATGTGGGACTCCATCCCGGGTCTCCAGGATCAGGCCCTGGGCCGAAGGTGGCACTAAACTGCTGAGCCACCTGGGCTGCCCAATATAAAAATCTTAACAATTTTTTGGTAAGACTATAATTTTAAAAAAATGAGAATGATATTTGCAACAAATATGACAGTCAAAGGGTTAAAATTACAAAAACATTTTAAACAGATAAAAATTGATCTAGGGGCACCTGGGTGGCACTGTTAGCTGAGCCTCAGGCCCTTGATATCAGCTCAGGTCACGATCTCGGGGTCCTGGGATGGCATGCCTCATCAGGCTCTGCACCACTGGCTACGGACCTGATTAAGATTCTCTCTTTCTCTCCCTCTGCCCCTCCCTCCTCCTCTTGTGTGCAGGCTCTCTCTCTCTCAAAAAAATTTTTTTTTATTTAAAAGATCCATTGCACAGAATACGTACAGGCCGTTCACAGAAGAACAGGATTCAAGGGTGGGTGACGAACGGCTGGGTGGATGCTGAAACCAAGCAGCATAAAGAGCAGAGCAGCTTGCGATGGGTGTGCGAGCTGCTTTGCTGGTTTGGAAAATTAATCTGGGAACGTTTTGAAACTGTTTTTAAAAAAGGATCTATTATTTGACTCACCATCTCATATCTGATCCTTAATCTCAGGGAAAACACTAGTACTTGAGGAACTGTCCTAGTTCAGAAGGTTCGTTTGCTGGTGTTTGTTCCGGCACTGCAGATGGTGTTTGCTTGCTTCTCTCCCGATTTCTCTTTCTTCTCCGACAGCGCAGGCTTGTGCACATGGACTTTCTTACGGGATGTGGTTGCTTTGTGCTTGGGTGTGCTGTTTCATGAACGAGCAGGTCGGGCCAGCGGAAGGCGGGCTCCCTACGGTCTTATGTGGACTTCACGGTCGGCGTGACTG